TTGACCAAGACAGAGAGCCCTGTACCTAGAGGTAGGTGAACAGTGTTGGAGCATCTTTTGCTGGTGAGGCTTCATAGATGCCCTTTTAGGGGCTGACTTTTCAAGATTGTCACTATCCCCAAAGTTTAGTGCATCTCTGGAGTTGTTCAGAGCAGACCTGTGGGGTGGCATTGAGGATGGAGGGAGGTGAGTGCATCCCAGAGCAGATGAGAGAAAGAGCCAGAACTTGCTGGCTCTAGACTCCTGCCCAGGTCTTGCCACCTCAGACCAGACCCTTCCCAGATACAGAGGCTGTGGGGAGCACTAGAACTGCCTTTCTCAGCTGGAGAGAAGTACTAAGGTTGAGGCACTGGGGCTGCATCTAACTCTGAGGACAGCTTCTGCCTGCAATGCTCAGGGAGGCTGCAGGTTTCAAGCAGCCAGGAAAGATATGCTCCTGCAGGAGGTTGTGTGGAGGTGGCAGCCACTGACTGAGCCAGCTGCTAGAGCCCTGGGGGGTCACCGCTTGCTCCCTGGGATCAGATTCCTGACTCCTGGATTCTGTCTTCCAGCTTCCATCCCTTTCTATTCAAGAGGCTCTTTCCTGACTTTGTGGTCCTTTGTGTCTCCTCGTCTGTCCTTCTGCTCATTGACTTGGCCTCTGTGTCTCTATTCTGCCCAGCCCGAGTCTCTGGCCTGGACCCTGGTCCATCCTTGCTGCTCTCAGGTGAGGGTCTTCCCCTCTCTCCCCACTCTGTCTCCCAGATTCTCCTGATGGTGCCCGGCTACCACCAGGTCTTCTCTCTGGTATTGCAGGTGTCAGAACTTAAAGAAGGCTGCCCCCACTCACCCTCAAACCCCTGAGCCAGCTCTCTCTCCTCTTCCCAGATGACACTGTGGACTCCCTGGGATATCTGGATGTGACTGGAGAGGACTGTGGGGAAGGGCCAGCCCTGGCCCACCTGCCTGGCCTCTGGTTTCCCATTTGGATGCCTCTTCCCTTCATGCAGCTGGCTAAGAAGGAGATGATGGTGTGGAGGGCAGGGGGAAGAAGTGGACACACAGGCTGGGGTAGGGCAGGGCAGCCCCGGCAGCCTTCAGAACAACCCTGGCATCCTTCCCTTCCTGCATCTGCTGGGTCTGTTCCAGCTTTACTCATTCTGCTGTGGGGCCACAATTTCTGCTCCTCTTGTCCCTTTTCATTTGCATTCTACTTCTGGAGGAAGCTTCTACTCTGGAGGAGGCAGGGATGAGCCAGTAAGTGAATGGGTAAGTGGTGAGAGAGGGAGGGTGCCCTGTTTTCAGGGTCAGCCAACCACACTCTTTCCATTGACCTCTGTGACCCTGGGCAAGGCATGACACCTCTTTCCTCATCTGTAAAATGTGCATAGTAAAATGCCCACCTCCCAGGACTCCTGTTCATCTTGTAGGCATGCTGCTACAGCTTTCCCCGTTTCCTAGGGCAGCAGTTTATGCTGACTAGGGGCGGAGGGAGGGTGTCCACATTCATTGTTAAATCTTCCAACTATTACTCCAGTTATGGGGATAAAGAAAATAATTCATGTAAAGCACATGGATGTTATACTGCCTGGCACATAGAAAACTGTTATTATTAGAATTATTATTTATTGCCTGGGACAGGAGTTGAGAGAGAAAGATCCATGATATTTAGTACCAGCTATCCCAACCCATCCATGGACTTATGGCATGATTTCTTCGGAGGGTCTGGTGACCTCCTGCATGAATGGATTTTTTTCTTGAACTCTGAGGAACAGGAGGGACAATTAAAAAGAGAAAGAAAATATAAACATTCCCTTTTCTCTTGTCCTGGCTTCCCAGAACCTTCCGGAATGTAGATCACTCAGTAAGTATTTATTGGTGTCATGATGTGCCTGGCTCTGTATTCAGTAAGGACATTACAGAGGAAAACATGACAGCAGAGCCAGGCTGCTCAGTGGGCACGTGTCCAACCTGTAGAATTTTCAGGTGAACCAAGGCTGGCCTTCAGCTAGGACAGAGCCCAAAGAGCTGACCAGATGGCAACCAGGGGGTCTGGGTCCTCATCTCAACTCTTTTCCCAAACCTCTATCCATCACGCCAGAAGAAATGGGTCTCTAACTGCAGATCAGTGTCCATGTCTCCTCTCTGAAGACGGCTTCCAGAACTAGTGGGAGGCTTTGCAGGCCAGCCCTGTACTTGCTGAAGATCTCTCTAAAGGACAGAGCCCACCAACCTGCCTGGGAACCTGGAGACCAAAACCAAGTCTGGCTTGAAGGAAGGCCRGGGTGCTGTTCTAACTCTCTTAGCCTTTCACCAGCAGATTCATGAAGGAGCAGCCCCACTAGATTGTTGTTTTAGAAAGAGCATTCTGAAGGCTAGTGCAGAGAACAGGCTGGGCAGAGGTTCAGTGGAAGGAGGGAGATAAGAGCCCATGAGAGAGAGACGCTAAGTGTCTAAGCTGACATTGGCAGTGGGATAGTGGAGGGACAGGTGGGTGGAGGAGGCATTCTGGAGGTGGCAACAGTGGACACTGAGGACAGATAGGATGTAGGGGATGAGATAGGAGTTGAGGGGTCTTCCCAAGTTCCTGACTGGTTTGATTGGATTGATCTCACAGATGCCATCAATTACTCTGTGTGTGTGTGTGTGTGTGTGTGTGTGTGTGTGAATGTGCACACACATGTGCTTATTTATATGTATGTATACATATATGTAAACTAAATTCAGTACAAGCTTCTATGTGCTCATGATTTGTCTTTCTGACCTAATAATCCAGGACTAAAAGAGATTCTGTAAATTGAGGGCTCTGACTGGTTGTGTTCTAGTGAGCTCTGGTTTTGCTGCACATGGGAAACCCTACTGCAATTGAAGAATGAGTGAGATTCTGTTTCTCCCATACATTCCCTCAGTTTCCCTATCTGTGAGATGGTGATGATGATCCCTATCTTATATTTCTCACTGTCACGATGTGGCTCAGAGAGAATAAATGTCAAGCATGCTGTAAGGCATGACCCACAAGCTGGATTATATATTTTTGGCTCAAAGGCACAAATTCCAGGCTCTTCATGGTAGGTAATGATGTTGCTACGTGTTCTTCCTCACATGGGGTATCTGCTTTCTATGCTTTAGAGTTGGGCAGTTTTTCTCCCAAGTAGTCTGCATACTTTTGGGAGAGTCAAGGAGGGGTGGGGACCCAGGGAGCCTGTTTCTGACTCAAACTCCTGGTCGTGGAACAGGGTCACTTTGTTGGTTTAGAGAGAGCAGTCCCATTTTGACCATAGTCAAAATGTCCCCTCAGTTCAACCAGGTTAGACCCTCCTAAACACCAGTCCCTCAAAGAAAATCCTACTCACTGGCTTTGTGTGAAAAATGAGAAATGACAGCACATGTTCCCACTCTAAATGTCAAGGTAAAAAATTCTGACATTCTTGGGATGTTTATTCATAGGAAGAATGTGGTTCGCAAAAATGTGTTTTTTTCTTTTTTACAGCTGAGACCTAGAGAAATCCGCTAATGGCCCAAGTCTCATAGCAGTGAAGTCAGGGCCAAGATTCAAGCAGAATCAGCTGCCTCTCCACCTGCCATGTGGTCTGTGTCTTTAAGACACCTAGCCCAGGTACTACGATCTTTTGTGAAGGTAGAGAAGCTAAGGCCAGCCTACAGAGACAATGTAGATTATAAAGACTTTTTGGTGAAAAATAAGATTTAATAAAAACAATTGTCTTCCAGCTCCCTGGCAGCTATTGGATAAGATCTGTGATGGTCCCACAAAAGTCCTCAGCACACAAGAGGTTTAGATGGTGTGCAATTCTGTTGAACAAAGTGAAAAAACTACCTAAGGTATTGAATGTAGGCACAAGGTTCTTATGAAGCCTCACTTGAATGCTTCAGAGAACAAGCTGACTAGAGAACAAGTAGGCTGGAGATCAGATGGAAAAGAGTAACCCCAACACCATCAAGATTGCTCCATTCCCCAAGTACCAGCAATGCAAATGGCATCTCTTTGGAGAGGGGTCCTTCCCTGTTCCCATGAAGAAACTGATTCTCAGGGAATTAAGCTCAGACAGAGCTAAGAGGGAGTAAGAAGCTGGAAGAGTGGAAGGAGGAGAATCAGGGGTAGGCACTGGTGGGGGGTTAATTGACTGCAGGCATCCAGGATGGGGGAGTGACTTCTCAGGATGTTTCTTGTGTACCTTGGATCTGAATCCCAGTCTTACGTAAGGAGAACCATTCAGAAATGCAGGTAGCATTAGCCGAGCATCAACTACATGCTAAACTTTCTATGATTTTTGTGCCAAAATATCCTTCAATTTTTGCAGCAAACCTGTGACAAAGGGATATTTGTTCTAATTTTGTACTTGTTCAAAGCAGTCTCAAAGGATGGCGGGGGGGGGGATGTAAATGACTTGTTCAAGGTTATTTAGCAAATTATACAGCCAGGATTGAGAAATCAGTGTTTTTTCTAATACACTGTGGCCTGAAATGGGGTGAGTGGATAGTCAGAGATTCATCGTGCCTAATGAAAAACTAAGGGTAAAATTAAATTGGAAAAATTAATCTATGTATTTGCAATAAGTAAATGGATTCTCTTCCTGTTTTAAGCATCTGAAGTTTGCCAACTTGCATGGGATCTGCACACCAATGCTAAGCTCCAAATACCTGGGTGTTTGAAGGAGAACTGGATGCTAAGGGGAACTGGTGATCAGCTTGCCCAATGCTTTCATCTCAGAGCAGAGGAAACTGAGGCTGAGATGGGGGAACTGCTAGTGGTTTTGAGACACAGCTAACCCCAAATAAGAAGCTCTCCTCTTCATAAATCTTCTGGGAGTGGTGAAAAAAGATAAAAGCAGGTAAGGTGGGTTGTCTCTTTGCCCAGGGAGAGCTTAGAGATTATGGTGTCCCATCAGAATTGGACACCAGCCACTACCTAACCCCTTAAGTAACCCCAGCTCTTAGTGTATACCTTGACAAGTCCACTGTCTAAATTGGTGCCTCTCTTTTTCATTGAGAGGTAAAAGACAATGCAAAAGCTCAACCAGTCCTTTGTGAGTGAATTCATTCTTCTGGGCTTCTCCCTGGATCCCAGAACCACACCCCTGCTCTTCTGGATCTTTCTGATGATCTACCTGTTGATTGTTCTGGGCAATGGCTTGATTACCATCCTCATCTGCCTGGATTCCCACCTTCACACTCCCATGTACTTCTTTATTGGCATCCTTTCCATGTTGGACCTGGGCTATACCACCACGACTGTGCCCCAGATGTTGGCACATCTGGCCAGCCAGGAGAAGACCATCTCTTTTTCTAGCTGTGTGGCTCAGATGTACATTTTCTTGGTGTTAGGTGTCACTGAGTCCTGGCTCTTTGCCATGATGTCTATTGACAGGTATGTGGCCATCTGCCATCCACTCCGGTACAAGGTCATCATGAGCCCATGGCTATGTGGGGTAATGGTCATTTTCTGTGGACTCTGGGGGATCATCTCTGCTCTTGTCTACACCGTCTTTGCCATGCGCCTGCCCTACTGTGGCCCCAACAAGATTAACCACTTCTTCTGTGAAGTTCCTGCAGTCTTAAAGCTGGCTTGCGCAGATACCTCACTCAATGAYCGAGTGGACTTCATCCTTGGTTTTAGTGTCATACTGATCCCACTGTCCCTTATCCTCATCATTTATGTCAACATCTTCATGGCCATCCTGAAGATCCGTTCAGCACAGGGGAGGCTGAAGGCCTTCTCCACTTGTGCCTCTCATATCACTGTGGTCACCATGTTCTGTGTGCCAGCCATGGTCATGTACATGAAGCCTGGCTCTAAGGCCTCCCCAGAAGAGGACAAGAAGCTGGCTCTGTTCTACAATGTCATCTCTGCTTTTCTCAACCCCATCATCTACAGCCTCCGGAACAAGGACGTGAAGAGGGCTTTCCTCAAGGTGACAGGCTGGGCAAGGTCACAGAATGAGTTTGCCTAAAAGGACAGAGAAACACTACTCATAAGTGCATGCTGGCCATGGCCCTAAACAGTTTCTCACATGACTTGGCCGCACCAGTGCTCACTCCTCTTCAGCCTCTAATCACAAYTCTGTGCAGGTCCTTGGAGACCACCCACTACTTGGCTGATATAACAGGATCCTGTGAAATATCTTCCAGGCACATCAGGTCTTTCGTCTCCTTTTGTTCCACRGTCTTGGTGTTCAGCAAAGGAGAGATAACCGAGCAATTAGTCTTTAATTAAGATGAAGGGAAAGAGTTTGGGGGTATACCCCACTACTGAATCATGAGAAAGTTTCCCTATCCTCTGGAAACCATAGTCATGGTATTAGGTGAGCTGAATACARGGGCAGGAGTGTTGTCTTAGAAGATTCCTGGCCCTAGAGGAGAAGTGAGTTTCAGATATGCTGGGTGGAGACAAGTTGGGCTGACTTGAGGCCAGGTGCAATCTGACCCCACTGACCTTCTCAGACTCATCTCAGGTTGGTCTRTCTTCCTCCTTTCACTTCACATGAATTGAACTTCTGTCATTGCCTTTTCTGCATCAAACCTTCCACTTACCCTACGCTCTCTCCTTACCCTAAACCCTMCCCTCCCTCCATGCCACCCCAAAGGACTGTTAATTCCTATTTATCCATCAGGTCTTGGCTTAAACTGAAGTTTCTAAAAGAACACTTTTCTTGAGTCCAAAAGAGTTGARAGTGAGTTCACCTTCAAAGCATCCTGTACCTCCTCTCACATAATAATAAAGGTGTGTGGCTCAACTTCTTAGTTCTCTGCTAGATACCAAGGCGGGAACACTGACAGCCTGATTTACTGCTGTTTGCTCAGGATATAGCACCCTGCTTCCCACAAATTGGTCTTCAACAAATRGGTTGTGGGTGAGGGAATGAACACCACACTTTGACCTGATTTCTAGATTACTAATTTTCTATTCAATTGTATCTAGTCTGTCATTAAAAACAGTAATAATCAACTCGTACATTGTTGGTGAGACTACAAAGTGGTGCAATAACTTTGGAAGGCAGTAAGGAGATTCCTCAAAAAACTAGGAATGGAACCACCATATGACCCAGCTAGCCCACTCCTCAGTATATATCCAAAGGAGATAATATCAGCATACAGCAGTGGTACAAACACATCAATATTTGTAGCAGGGCAGCACAATTCATGGTGGCCAAGATATAGAACCAGCCCAGATGCCTGTCAGTGAAATCAAGAAAATGTGGCATATATGCATGATAAAGTTTTACTCAACCATACAAAAAAAAGTGATTTCATGACATTTGCCAGTAAATGAATGGATCTGGAGACTATGATGCTAAGTGAAATAAGCCAATCCAAAAAAACCAAAGACTGAATGTTCCCTCTGATATGTGGATGCTAACACACAACAAGGGGTTGGGGAAGAATAGAAGTTCATTGGATTAAACAAAGGGGAATGAAGGGAAGGGGGAGAGAGGATAGGAATAGGRAAGACAATGGAATGAATCTGACACAGACTTTTTATGTTTGTTTATGAATACACCACATCATGTACAACCACAAGACTGGGATCCTAATTAGAATAAGATAGACTCAGTGTTTTTATAAACATGTTAAAATATACTGTACTGACATGTAATATCTAAAAAAAGAACAAATACATTAAAAAAACATAATACAGACAGAATTTAGAACATTGTGAGAAAATAACTGATGTTTTGAAGTGTTAGGATCCAGAGTAGATAAGGAGGGAATCAAAGGCTACAGGGGAATGGAAGTTGATAGACAAAAAAAAAAAAAGAAAGAAAGAAAAAAAAAAAAGGAAGTGTTGAGTGTTGGAGGCCCCGTGAAGTGGAAGTAGTTGAGTGAACATGTAGTTAGACAGGAGGCAGTGATCAGAGAATGTCTGAAGGAGTAATTTCAGAAGTGAGATTGTTCCTAAGTAATGAAAAGTGCCAGGTATGGGCATAGATGGCTGGAGTGGACTTCAAAGATGAAGAGATGAAGSAAGGGAGGGGCTGGGTCTTGAATCAGGTCATCCCCTCAGACATTGAAGTCATTCAGGATGATGGACTCAAGATTAAGACCTTGAGACAAGTGTTAAGTTTTCATAGAAAATGAGAGTTTAAATAATAAACTTTAAATAATGATTATTACATGCATCTGATAAAGCACTTTGATGGAGGATTGGGGCACTGATGATGCTAACATCAAAACCACCAGACTTCTGAGTTGACCACAAAATTAAACATGGCCACTCAAAAAACTAGAACCAACAAAGCCTCTAGATCAATAATCAGTTCATGTTTAAAAGCAACACAACAGAGAAACAGGTTTGAGTAAATCTTGAAAATGATTAGTGAACTCCAGACTCTGAAAAATCCAGCTCATTTCCTACATAAAATGAAAGGGGTTGGGAGAAGATTGGAATAAGAGCATAGACTTAATTCTACATCATGTACAACCAGCAGAATGAGAAGTTATACTCCATATATGTATAATGGGTCAAAATACATGCTACTATCATGTATAACTAATAAGAACAAATTTAAAAATATATAAAAAAGAAAATAAACCTATGAGACATAAAGGACAATCTCAATAAATGGAAACATCACTTATTTTTCAATGGTAAAATCCATTATTTTACAGATGTTCATGTTCCTAAATAAATCTAAATAATTAACATTATCAATAAGATTCATATGGAAAAGTAAGTGCATATGAATAGTGGAGAATTTTTTAAAGAAGAAAACTGAGGAAACTTGTCCTACTCACGGTTAAGAATATAGCCTCCGAAGTTAAGAGACCTGGGTTATAACCATTTGACCCACTTATCCCACTCCTCGATATATACCCAAAGGACTTGAAATCAGCATACTACAGTGATACAGCCACATCAATGTTCATAGCAGCTCAATTCAAAATAGCTAAGATATGGAACCAACCAAGATGCCCTTCAACAGATGAATGGATTAAAAATGTAGTTTATATATACACAAGGGAATAATTCTCAGCCATAAAGAAAAATGAAATTATATCATTTGCTGGTAAATGTATGGAACTGGAGACTATCATGCTAAGTGAAATAAGCCAATCCCTAAAAACCAAAGAACCAATGTTCTCTCTGATATGAGGATGCTAACACACAATGAGGGATAGGGAATAGAACTTCATTGGGTTAGACAAAGGGGAATGAAGGGAAGGAGGTATGGGAATAGGAAAGACAGTAGAATGAATTGGATATAACTTTCCTATATTCATATATGAATACATGTAACTTAATGTGGACACATCATGTCCACCACAAGAATAGGATCCTAATTCAAATAAGCTATACTTCATGTATGTCAGAATATGTTCTGTCATGTGTATCTAAAAAKAATTTTAAAAAACTTTAAAAAGTTATGAAACTTCTTTGAATTGTGCTGCTGAAAACATTGATATGGTTGTGTCCCTGTAGTATGATGTTTTAAKTCCTTTGGGTATAAACAGAGGTGTGAGATAGATGGGCAAAGTGGTGGTTCCATTCCCAGTTTTCSAAGGAATCTCCATACTGCTTTCTATATTGTTTGTATCAATTTGCAGACCCACCAGCAATGTATAAGTGTGCCTTATTTCCTACCTCCTTGCCAATACTTATTGTTGTTTGTATTCTTGGTGGCTGCCATTCTGACTGGAATGAGATGAAATCTTAGAGTAGTTTTGATTTGCATTTCTCTAATTGCTAGAGATGTTGAATGTTTTTTTATGTTTATTGATTGATTGTATATCCTCTTCTGAGAAGTGACTGTTCTGTTCCTTCGCCCATTTATTGATAGAGTTATTTGTGTGTGTGTGTGTGTTGAAGTTTTTGAGTGCTTTATATAGCTAAATTGTGGAACCAACCCAGATGCCCTTCAGTAGATGAATGGATAGGGAAACTCTGGTATATATACAGAATGGAACATTACTCATCATTAAAAGAGAATAAAATCATGGCATTTGCAAGTAAATGCATGGAGTTGGAGAATATAATGCTAGGTGAAGTAAGCCAGTCCCAAAAAACCAAAGGCCAAATATTTTGATATGAGGATACTGTCTCATAAGGGACAAGGGGATAGGAATGATGGTGGAATGAGTTAGACATCATTACCCTAAGTACATGTATGAAGATACAAATGATGTGAAAATACTTTGTGTACAATAGGTGACTTGAAAAATTTTGCTCTATATATGTAGTATGAAATGACTTGCATTCTGCCATCATATATAACAAATTAGAATAAATAAWTWAWWAAAAARRAAAAAATTGAAATTAAAGAATTTTAAAATTAAAAAAAGTTATGACATTTTTATTAGGGAAAAAAATGTCCATAAAGGCATTCATTAAACATGTCTTTTGAGTTCCTACCATTTGCCAAGAGTAGGGTCAAGTATGGTACAGAGGAAAAGGCAGATATAAAAGGATCCCATCCCTGTGAAGAATGAAAATACACAATTATTGAAAAAAAACAAAGCGTATCCAGGAGATGGGGAGGTAACAGTGTCAGAAAAATGGTGGTGGATACAGAAACTTCTAAAAAGCAAGAGATTTCTAATAGGAAGAGAGGAATTGAAATTAATTGGAAGGAGCAAGTAGAGCCTATACAACACATCCTCACCTTAACTTTAGAGAGGAGGAGCAGTCTCTACTTGAAATACAAAGGAAGCTGACAAAAAACCCTTCTCTGATAACCTCTTGTTCATGCAAAGATATAATGATGTGAAAGAGCTTTGGAAGCCCCACGTGGTGTCTGGAATCCCAGGGCTCAGGAAGTTGAGGCAAAGGATTGCAAGTTCAAAGCCAGCCTCAGCAACGGTGAGGCTCTAAGCAACTCAGTGAGACCCTGTCTCTAAATACAAAATAGGGCTGGGGATGTGGCTCAGTGGTTGAGTGCCCCTGAGTTCAAACCCTGGTACACCCCCTGCCCCAACTAAAAAATAAAGAGCTTTGGAAAATGTGGCAAGTTAAATA